ACATTTGCCGGCATTGGCCTGCATCTCTGAAAGAGAAAGAACTTCGTCACTTCTTCGAATAATACTGACAACGTTATCTTACATAAAATGCGCTCACATAAACTAGATAATTAGCATATGATAAAGCGATATTTCATCCAGGAGTTAATACTTACATGTAATGTCATTTATTTCTTAGAAGCTATATATAAACTCAGATGTTAATTCATCCTTAAAATGGTTTGTAGTAATTAACTATAAGCTGTATTTCTTTCATAATTTCGATACACTAAGAAAAATTCCTAAATGAATGTTCTTGTTCACTTTTCACATTTAAACTACATGTAGGTAAACATAATATGTAAATATGAGGTATCTTACCAATTGTAACACCATGACTGTATCGCTGATTCAGCAGTATCAGGTATATTGCGGCAAATAGCATCTTCCAACTGAAAAGAAATAAATCATTCATGTGAATCAATGGCATTTTTAGACACTACTTTATACTGTCGCAATACGAGTTTTGATGTTTCCGACGAAAGCACCCGGGATATATTACCACTAAGTTTATAGAGTGTAACCATTAAAATTTCCATATTATTTTCCATGTGATCAGTGTCGAAAGCAGAGGGGAAAAACATTAAATCTTTAATGGAGAGAAGATTTCCTGTCGTTATCGTGATCGGTTTTGAAACTGTTCTGTTACTTTGCTCAATATGCAGTTCGACTCTAGCAAATCTACAAATATTTTTAGGTTGAAAATATTCGTGAATCAGATTGAGCAAAACTTACATTGGGTATATATATATATATCCTTTGTTCAAACTTTGTCCTTTATCAATTTTTGGAAACCTGGAGTAACAGCGGAAGGCATGATATACATATGCCCTCTTTTAAATATTCTTTATTCAACACTTGGATAGAAAAAATAATATGATGATAAACAAAAGCTAACTTTTAAACGTTAGAGCCTTCTCGATTCTCAAAACCAAACTCACGAACGATAGATATTTATAATAATTTTCAAAACATAACACTTGAGTTGAAAGAGAAAGAAAATATGGAATTTAAGATTTGAAGTTAAAAAAGATCGTATTTGCAGGTTTCGCTGAAAGAAAGTGACAGCTGAAGCAAAACTGGCTGCAAATACATAATATCATAAAACCAGTTCTAGTCAGTTTTATGGCTGTTTTTATATACAAATTTATATAACTAAAATAAACAAAATATCGAAATGTTGCGCCGGCTATCTGCATGAAATTATATTCATAATAGTAAACCCTAAGTTAATTCTTTGAAAGTGTTCGACATTAAGTATTAAGAAGGATATTTGTGAAGTACCTACGGCGTCACCCATTTAGAAGGGTGGGGCTTAGGCGGGATAAGTACATCGTATACTGATGCATGTATTTGTATAACGGAAATGTGTCCTGTACAAGTATGAAGAATTGTTGGCTACATATTCTTTAATGAACTGAGTTTATATCCTCTGAATCGTTTCCATTGTTATTATGCACAACCATGTTTTTATTGAAAGCAACGGAATATACATAGCTTTTGGACATTTTGGTTAACATATCATGATAATGTTCTAATATCGGTGAACTATGTTGTTCACAAAGACTAAAAAAGTAATCTTGATTTGCACCCGATTTCCTATTAGCTGAACCTACCTTAAGATTTAACCATTTTCAGGCTGGAATTATATTTTGCTTAAGGAAGTAGTAATTTTAAAACACATATATACAAATGTTAAGGATTGTTTTTGCATCTGAAGGTATCAATGATATAATTCGCATTTTAGATAATACAGTAAGTACATAATAAGCCTTTCTACTCATTAATTTAATTTTTACATTGTATTGAATTTTTGAATTATTATCACCGTTTCTACAATATTTTCTTTTTTTACTTTTTTTATTATTATGTTAAGAAAATATCTTGCTTCTTTAAAAATGATTAACAAGGTATATACGGATTGATTTTCTTTATTCTAATACTTCAAGTAAGTTGTGTACATATAACGATTGTTCACTGGTCTACAAAATCACTTGTTTTCTCCATATTGCAAGCATATAACAGTAAGCTTTTAAGATAAGGGATCATTATACGTGTGTGCATTTTTTTATTAATCATAAATAGCTTCATCAAGAAAATCATAGACTATATTCGATTACATATTTTTACGGGTGCCTCGCACTCGTACTTGTAAGATATATATTATATTAAGCGAAAAATTATTATAAATCTTCTTTATGTTTATTATAAAATATTAATCTTGAGTTATTTAGCAGTTACGAAGAGTATACTAGGTGAACAAAACAAAAATACGTGTAATTATGTAAGAGTTCTGTTTACGTACACGTAATAAACTTCCATCTATAAATATAACCCTGTTAAACAATTATGAAGAAAATTGACTAGGACAGGTTCTCCTCGATGAAGGTCTCATGAGTATACAATGTGCCTTATTGTTTTATCAACTGAATAATATCATCCCAAAATATCATTACTAATGTCTAAGTTACATGGTGAATTATTGTACATTTCATGACAAGAAATGACAAAAGAACACTCCATATCACGTTATTTTTAGTCGTTATTAAATATCTTCGTCATATCCCTTCAATTCTCAGTAATTAAGTACACTTAGGTATACCAAGGATATATAACTTACTTCTGAGTACAAATTAAATATTAAAAATGTGGCTGCAAATATAGTCAAATAACTTCAAAATAGCGAAATTCACTTTTTCTAATCATAAATAGTATAAAGACTAACCTGATCTGACAGTCTGCTGCATGAATGTGGAATTATTAAAAATAAATGTTGATATCACCTTCCTGTCCACAATTGCTGTGGATATACGTTCGGTTTAAATACGTGTTCTCTTCACCATTGCGTACATCCTGTCCCTTCTGTATTGATAACGTGCACAGATTTATGTAACATGGCCCTCCATAACACTTGAACAGATTACTGAAATTTTGAGTAGATCGCTAAACACATTTGTGTTCTAGTAAAGCACTTCAAAACTTATTTATATAAACAAAAGTATTAGCCTTGAACCCAGCTTTAGTTCTGAGATTTAAATTCCTTTAGGTGCATGGCGTAATAAAGATAGCAGCCCCTCAAAATGTATTATTTGATATGGTTTGTAATGAGTATTTTGGATGTATTTCTAAATTTATTTTAGCAATATTTCACAAGTCATTACCTTCCGATGTGGTATTCAAAACAAACGTTGGGAAAGCTTTTCTTGTGGCAGAAACATGTCATACGAACTCTAGTTGTTTAAGCTAAATCTGAGGGTTTTTTTTATAAATTTTGAAAAAAACTAACAAGAGTAAAAGAAATACTATATATTATGACCAACTCGTTGTGTAACTTCTATATAAACCACCCATGGTGTCAATCAGTTGTACATATTTTGCCATTATACCCCTATATCCATACTAATTTATCAAAGAAGCATCATCTTTCCGACTGAATTGATCAGCTATTTTGGTTTTGGCATTGGAAACAAGATGACAAGAGTCGATATGTTTAAAAATTCACTCTGTCGTAGAAAATATTAAAAAAATGAATGGAATGCAATTGAATTGAACCTTATAGTATTTAAGCTGGTGTCACCCACTATACATTTTTACCATACACAAGTATGTAAGAAATATGCCTACGTTATATGTATACATTAATGCATAAAATTTCGAGACAGTTAACATATTTGCCAATATATTGAAAAGATGGCGTTTTGATATTGGCATGTCTATGTTAGATTCCTTTTTAGTGATTCACTGCATTTTACAAAATCAGGAAGTATTGGGACTTAAACATATTAATGCTAACAATTTCAGCATCCTGTCAATAACATCCTGAACAATAAGTGTGTGATAGACTCTACAAAACGTCTTAACCAATGCCATCGACTCCAGTCCAAAGCATGTGAACTTTTAAAAATGAATCAATTCATGAAAAGATATAGATATTTTCCATGACTGTTCGGAATTGTTATTTTTCCTCCAAAGAACATTTTCACGAGCTACCAGCATCTTATCACTCTTAATGAGTACGTAGCAGACCCTACAAGATTTCTTAACCAACAACTCGTTGATAAAATTTGACCAAGCAGTGATCATTTCATCAGGAAAATGGCGTCACTCATGTCTTAATATGAAGGAGTCAGTCTGAGAATAGAGGGATTGACCCAAGACAATAATCATGTTATGAAATATAGAGAAATAATGACAGTATAATCAGTCTAATGGAGAACAACATTTCCACCAACGAAAACAAAGAACACATTTCATATAGTAAAAAACTGAAAAGTTGAAATGGGAAACACGACCTTTACAATACACGTGTAAACTGCAAGTTGGAAAAATTATATTAAGAAAATGTTTATGATTGACATTGATATGTTTCCAGGTTGTATAAGCACATTCCACTGTTCTGGTAACCCGTTTAGATCGTTACATAGAAAATATAATATGATCAACGTGATCGATCAACATCACCTTGTTTCATCTTTTCAATTTACATTTAGATGGTCCAAACAGGAGCATTTGTAAAGTACATTTCGTCTCTGCTGTGAATTTCGAAATCCGTAGTAAGGATGAAAACATAGCATTTTATTTTCGATGTCTAAATTAAAATGATCGTAACGGCCTGCGTTCCTCGGCAATCCCATCGCATAAAGCTACATTTGTAATTATGTCATAACAGGTGGATTGGAGTTTCTTATGTATTCAATCTGCTGGTAATATTCAAACATTTTCACAATGCCTTGCTATCAAAATTCATAAATATCAATATATTTTACGCAGTCACTAAACATGACAAGAATGGGATAATAGCATACAGGCCAAGTTGTACATACTGTTCAAACTGCCGATATTCCATCGAAAGATAAGGTATTGATTTCGTTATACATTACATGTCAGTTGTACTATCCAAAGAATCGAAACTCGACAATCTGCGAACTACAGTCAAGATAATATATATGAGCACATTATCTTTATTTCATGTTTTTATTGTCTGGGGTTCCTCCTGCTTCAGGAGGAGTGTTGTAAGGCATCCTTCGTGCTAAAGGAGAGATGGGGAGAGGTTTTCTACAGTTAGACTGTGATCTTGGCGGTGTGATTGGCGGGTTTTGAACAATACAGGAAGGTGATCCTTTTATCGGCGTCGAAGTCAGATTTACACGGGCACCACTGAAAGTATAAATCACATGAATTAAAGAAGCGATATTCAATATTTTGTTGTATACGTATATACGATAATACTCGCAACTTTACTGTTCCAATTCTATAGTATATTATATATTACGAAATTGCTAAATGTTCTTTCAGAGGAAATCAAAGTGTAACCAACCTGTTATATTGTGAAAATGAGTTGTCGGATGATTTATAACCAGACACATTGAAGATCTCTTCCTCTGAACTACTACTTTCACTTTCACTGTCGATGGAAAAGTTGTTGGATTCGTCTAATCTGAGGGCACAAATACGGAAAATGCACGTAAATATATAGTTCAGTGAATTGTGTACGATACAGAGGTAACGAAGGAATGAAGAACAGAAGTAAAATTTCTAATCTTTCCTTGACAACTACTTCGTATAACTGTGAAGTTATCACTGGATGTGGGGCCGGCGTTACTTACACACTGACCACATAATGCGAGCCTTTGTTACGTTTTCGTGGGTTGTGGAGCTGGGACAATCTTACGTACACTGGGGCCGGGTAGGTTTTCTCCTTCAGGGAACAGAAACTCAGCTCGGTCAGATCTATGCACCGCTTCCGTCTGTCAAGATGAAAAAGACAACAATGTCGTACCAAGACTGGTTATTCTTTAATCTAAGTATGTCTGTTTAAGCAAAAACCTGCAGAATGTTTGAAGATATGAAGTGGTTAATTAAGCTTACTCGTAATGTTAATATATTTAATGTACACTTAAACAAGTTTTGGAATACAATACCATTAAATATTTGGACTTATTCGATATTCGCTCGTTATTAGATAAGTGTTTTCAATAATAACTATTAACCCTGCGTGATTAGGTTCAAAACAATGACATCGTGTAGCAGGTATTTAATAACAGTTCAATGTGTAGAAGAAACAGCATCTTCAATTAAATGAACAAAACTTGTTAAACTTTACTTCGAAAGTCATTTGACTAATGCCAATACTTTATCGTCCGGTGAATTGTGTAATCATAGAAAGAACCACAAAAGAAACAGTTTCACAAGCACAATATACCTGCTGTATCGCTTAGCTAAGTTCCAAACCAGCAAACCCAGCAATAGTACTGATAGACTCGCGAGAGCTCCCAGGCCAACACCAAGCCATAAATTAGGATCTAGGGTGATGGAAATATCGACATTTTAATATTATAAAGAATTAATAACATTTTTTGTCATTTTCACTTCATGATAAAAAAAATACAAATATTTGGCTGAAAGGTTATTGATGAAAACCGAAGATCTGGTCAAAATTCAACGTTTGTACAAATATCAGCAGAAGAGTATTGACGACAAGCTGTTTCTCAAAACATTTATATGTCGCAATTATTTTGCTTACTTTTCAGTAGATGGTCAAACAAAAACGCCTTTAACGGAAGTTGCAATAGTCTGAAAAGTCCTCGTTTCTGCTTTGGAAAGAAAAGAAGGTCCTGTCTCTTTCGCGCGTTTTCTAGTTTTGTTTGTTTGGTTTTTTTTATGTCCAAACCCAACAAAGTCTCTTGTAACCCATCTTACATTCTTGTTGGGTAACTGAAAACTTATATATTTCATTGCATTTCTACACAGTAGCAAACAAATATGAAAATACATAGTAACCAGTGTCTGAGGTTGGAACAGACTTGAAGCAGAAATGTTTTTGAAATAATGCACAATGAACAACATCAAATGATAAACAACAATCATAAGAAATGGAAGGGCTTCTTTTCTTTTGATCTTTCAAAATGATCCCCAGACTACAGAACAATAAAATCTACATAGGCATGACTTCAAGCCTTTAAACGCTTCAACTTCAAACTTCAGAATGCCTTCAGACATTTTCTGTCCGGTATAACCTGTTGTATCCTTTCGGATTCGAAAACTGTAACCTGCTGGAAGAATTAATGTAACCTTATCGAATCGGAGTTTATATTACTGTAAATACTTACCTTGACTGTCGATAAGAGGTTTCACCTGAAATAAACCAGCATGTGTCACGGATGTATGTCGGGTCGTGTTTTGTGTCGTCAGCACATTCTTTGTTTGTTTGGTGTCGTTTTCAGCATTCTTAAAGTATGATATGTTCAGTACATCGTTGCTATCGACGCTCCATGTGGAGTCTGGTACAGAAAATTTCGCTCCGACAACTCTCTGTTGTATGCTGGCGTGCCACGTACTTTGGTCATCATCTGCGCTGCCCAGTTTCTCTATCAACTGTCGAATTTGGTCAATCCTATCAACTGGTTCCATTCCAGGAGAAGGAATGTGATACGCTGTAACCATTAAGAATTTACATTTACATATCCATCACCCCGGAGTTACTGTCGTACACTTGGTACGAAGGGCAAAAATTTCAAAATGGCGGCATGTAATTAAACAACCGAGAAGCTATGTACTGAATTTCAATCCATTTATCTGGTGTTTTCGAAACTGTTTTACCTAACCGTTACACACCATTTTATTATTAGCTGTGACCGACAAAGCACATAAGTATAGGTAAGTGTTCAACATGAACAGTAAATCTTTATTCACAACAAGAAGCGGTGATTTTCCCGTAAATTCGAATACGTGTTTGTTCCTAATAAATCGTACGGTTGCTTATTTAGCCCTGTACATGTTGAATGCCGTACTGATTTAATCATTTCTTTCCAACTATCTTTATGATTATTTGTGTTAAGATGAAATAATAAGTCAATGAAGGAGATATAGTAAACGTTTTTTTTAAATTCCCGTTGAAGAGTGCTTTCTTTTTGACCAATTTTTACTACATATAAACAAGATACAAAATGCACTCATATGCTGTTATGATACAACTGTCAAATTGATCTATATAACATTGGAGCACGGAAACTATCAGAAAAATGAAAAATCTTTGTATCCACTCCAAATTCTCTGTTACGCGTACACGCCTGCTAGACACGAACATCGGGTCACTAGTGAACAAATTCAGAAGGTCGTTTATACCTTTCGCATTTTATATGATGTTCAACATTTCTACCGCGAGATCTCTGTTGCTAAGATTCCGCAATCTTGAAATGTCCCCTCCTAACCTAGCTTGGGTTATGGTAGACTACTCTATCTGTCATCATGTCCCTCCCAAAGCCCAACTCAATACTGACTTACTATGTATATGTACTGTACTGTAGAGTCAGAGACTGAAAGAGTCATCGTCGCTTTTTCGATCATCTAACAGATCACTTCAGTTTTATCTTGAATGTAGAAGCATTACTCATCTTATACCATACAAAACGCAACATGATATAAATGCGTAACAAGGGTCGGTCTTACCTTTCACAAATGGGAATGAAATGGATAGTATTGAAAACGCAAAAATACAACCATTCTCCAACGCCATTTTGCATATAATGATTACGTCATAATGACGTTATTGAAGCTATGACGTTGCATTTTACGTGATATATTCCGCTACTTGGGGATACCATAGTTTTCCATTTTATTTCATTTTATTTCTTTGGTAACCGAGTACATGCGAATTTTATCGCATTTCTACCAGTTGTATTCCATGCATGTACACATTTTCATTTTACACATTTTTTTCTGGGATGATATAACGAATTCGATGCATTTCATGCTGTTAGATTTCCAACATGAACATGTTTATATCGACCTAATGTCATGGTTTGCATATTCATTTATGCAAACGTTAGGGCGTCTGCATTTTGCCTTTTCCATCCGACAACAAAAGAAATGAAAACAAACGACATTCTTTTTAGTTGGGACTCATATAATCTCTGGTGTATTACTGGAGTTTTTTTTTTTCTAATTTCTACATAAGTGATGCATTTTTATATGTATATATTCGTCGTGTTTTCCTTGTTGAAATAAATTTACCAAATTCCGCAACAAACTCGACAAATATATATATATTATATATACAATTATATCTAGTTATTTTTATTAAACAGGTAAGTCGCAGAGCGTTGTCAATTATTAGATTGGTGTATTTGAAAACATGACATGAACATTTTGTAAATTAATTAAATTCCAAATTTTCACGGTTCTTATCGTATTTGTGAACATTTCAGTGGGATGTGTTGGGATATCTAGTATGTAATCTATTATCTTAGATATGGTTTTGTTTAAGTTCTAGAAGATTCATACTCTTTCAGCTAGGGATCTAAACGCAAAACTTTTCAGTAAGTGAAATGTTTGCCGATGCCGCCGCCTACACCGCTGGGACAGAAAGTTGTTTTCAAAGGAGTTGTGGTATAAGGGAGGTAATTCATAATAATTTTTTATTTCTTCATCCGGGGATTTTCAAGATGGATGCGCCCATGTATTAGAACAGTTAAGACTAAAATTGTCTTTGCAGCAGTTAGCCGGCTTACACAAAAAGGTCCATGCGTCGTCGTTTTGGTGAACAACTAAGTACTTACGGAAAACACGACTACTCATAACAATTCAATCTTGCTGGTTGTAATATTACAACTTGCCGACCAATTTCAAATTCAGTCTCAACTCATCATGTGTATCATTATTTCCTTCCGACTAACAGTGTTAAAGGTTTACACCTCGAGAAACTGATAACAAGCACCTGTCAGAGTCGCGTACGTCAGCACAATAATGTCAGAAAATTAAATTGGCTACCATGGGTCTCTTATGTTAATTAAGGCTAAGCCATATCTGACAATTGTGGATATGATAAAAAATCCTTATAAAACCTCTGGTGGGACTAGTAGATTGACAAATTGGGAATGAAATAAACCCTAAGTGTTGCAAACACCCACAGCTCCGCCCCCCTTTTTTTACCAGTCGGGAACTTGTGATAACAACTTTATTGTTTGTTTATATATATATATATATATAGGTAAATTAAAGGATAGACAATGAGTGAAAAACAAGAAGAAGTTGATGACAAGGTCAGTGATTTAGCTGATGGCGTTCAGAAGGAGGAGATTTATGATGAAGATGTGGACACATATTATTTTGAATCAGATCACACAGCGTTGAAAGGAAACCCAGACTATCAAACACTTTTGAAGACGGTTATCTTGCTAGAATCTCAACGAATTCAAGCCATGAAGGATCTAGACAAATTACATCAGTGTCAAGCAGAAGCTCTGAAAGATCCCATATCATTTGTCGAAAAACTTCAGAGTGGAGCAGATATTGGATTTCCAAGGCGACAACATGTGGCCAATATCCCTTCCCTCAACTGGGGAAAATACACAAAAAATGTTGACTTTTCATCATTGGGTGTACCAAAACACATGACCAGACTCAAAAGGCAAATAATTGAAGGGAGTTCAGGTACATACTCTATATGTATATCCTTGTACATGTTTCGTTTTTATCTTTTATACTGCACATCAGATTCAGTAGTTGATATTTGAAATTATAGATATATATATATACACACATTGTAATGCTAGATGCTAGTAAATGGCGTTCCCTGTTTCCCCATGTCGAAGTCAGTGTAAACAATCTATAATTAAATACCTTCGGATACCACGGTAGGTACAGATATGGGGACAAGATATGATTGAAACTTTTCAGACAGTTAAAACAACATCGTTTTTCTGAGCAATAGCCAAAGCCGGGTGTCGTCAATCTCCTCCTACTCAATGTGTTTGTTACCTGTTAAGAACCGTTAATTATCCAATTAGCCAAGCCATTTATGCTTGTTAAGTCAGGCACCTGTGTGAATTTGTTTACATAAGGTAATTAAATATGTTAGGGGCACGATGATTTTGGTTTACTAATTATCAATGGATCAAACCACAACCGTTTCATAGCGGTAACCAGTAATCAATTAATCTTAATGTTGAAAATCTTTTTTTTTTTTTTTGAATCTGACCCCTAAATAGTACCTGCACACTATACCCGCAAATTTACGGTATACGTCCCTGGCTAGAGTAACAAAAACGTAGTAATACTTTGATATATATATATATATATGTATTGCATTCCTTCAATTTCAGTATTACTATCATTTCACTAAGCTAAAGAATAAAAGAAGAGTACCAACAATAACTTTTTTTTAGCTTATTACTACTTTTAAGGGACCTCTCTACACCACTAGGTTTCCTCCTGAAGCCTAGAAGATGAAACTCCAAATACTTATGAAGTTAGCAGTATGTTGATTCTTTTGAAAATTCTCCGTTTGGAGATTTGTCTTGTCTGTTTAGTTTGTAATATTTCACTTATAAAGTACCTGATTTGTGTAATAACAGAAACGTATAACTATACAGCATCCGTATTATAAGTAAAGATTGTTATATCTGAGGGGTTCTACTTTTTCATTATTGTTCAGGACAGAATGAAAACACATACACACAAACACAAACACAAAAATATGATCTGAAACTAGAATTAAAAGAGGAAACATTTCAGGATTTCTGTAATATCAAATACATCCTTCTTTTGTCATGCTTTAGGTTAAAAAATTAAACCTCAAAAAAGCATTTGCCCTGACAGTATCTAAAAAAAGTTTTTTTGGTAAAGAACATAATGGAAAAGTACATTAAAAACCTGTACATGTATTTTTGGTCACATGTACAACGGCATGAGAATTCTGCACCATGGAACTTTAATGCTGAAATATTCAGGAAGCTCTCCGATGTAGGACAGGCTACTGTTTTGTTCATCAGAAAGCATTCAATTAGATTTGAAAAATTGACATATATGATATTTTTATTGAAACTTCAGATAATGACCCAATGCAGGTAAGCTCTAGTGGAACGGAATCACAAGTGACCATGGTGAGAGGTCGCCTGAAGGACGAAAGCAAGTCGGTAACATTCAACAAGCTCTGGAATGTGGAAGAACAGAAAAGGTCAGTAACTAAAGTGTACTCTTTTGTTAACAGTCATAAACACTCACAAATCTCTATAATACCAAGCATGTCTGACATGGTGGTCCTTATTACAGATTGGAGGATTTGTTGATCCAGTATCAACCAGAAGAAGTAGAGGCCAAGCGATGGCAGAAAATTGCAGCAGCCCTTGGTAATAGGACTCCACAACAGGTAAAGTGTGTGTGCATTCACTAGCTGTTGGTGCATGTATGCAAGGAATCTTAAAGAAACAACAAATTCTCTAAAAGGAAATTAGTAAATAATGACATTTATAATTCCTTACAAGTATTTTGTATTAGTACAAGTAAAAAATCTGGCTTTTCCTCACATTCTGTCTAAATCTAATCTAGTGACCGCACATAATGAAGTTGTACAAAAATTGTTTGCAACTACTTTTTAATAGTTTGTATTCAAATTTTATGAGAAATAATAAGTTGTCCCATTTTTTAAGGAAGTTTAAGATAGCATTTCAACATATTGAATTAATTAGGTGTAAAATATCAATCAATCAATCTCTTTTTCTGATATATTAAAGCAAACTGGGTGTCCTGAATGAAGTTATGTCTGAAATTATCATGTCTATTTTATCAAGTTATATACTTGGTAATATTTTCTCCCTGTATGTTTATAAACTGGAACAGAATCGTAGAAACCAAAATTATTGTAAAGTTTGATATACAGTTATAGTATGTGAAATTGTCTGAGGAGACATGTGAAATGTTGATTAAATGTAGGTCAAGTTCAATTAACATTGTGTTTCCAAATGCAGCAACAATTACATTCATGTGTACAAGATGGCAGAGAACACAGCTGGAGCATTTCAGATTCATACCAATACATATATATATACAAATAACACTAAAAAACCTTATTGTTGACATAATTACAGTAACAATGTACTTAGAAATAATGTAATTTCAAATTTTTAGTAATGACATTCTTTTTTATGAGGCATGAATTAGATATTCACAAAATTTCTCACAGATTTTATATTTTTACTTGTAAATCATTCAGTTAACTTGTATAGAAAGGAGCACCAGTAAAAATACAGTCAAATGTAGGTCATCATAGTGTCAAATTGATGTCTAGTGATCTAGAATGTGTCTACACTTCTGTGGTTACTGATTTAATGGATACATAGATCATAATACAAAATGTCAGTATTTCTGAATGAATATGATTGTTTGATAATTCAGCCAAATTAAAGCTTGTCATATTGTGAATCCCACAAAAACATGTTAAACCAGGCATTTGAACTTGTGTAGTTATTTTACATGTACATGAAAAATTATATAACAATATACTGCCTACAACTGAGAAAGAAAATACTTGCAAATGAAAATAGCTTGGCTTAAAGGCACCCATCCTGTGGTAAAATTATTTTGTATGAAAGTGGTATTTAGGACAAAACCAGTTACAATATATTGTGTTTAAAACTTGGCTTTGAATTTGTTTTCCATTATTTCAGGTGGCAAGTCGAGTGCAGAAATACTTCATCAAGTTGGCTAAAGCTGGATTACCTATTCCAGGGAGATTACCAAATCTAGCCACACATACTAAAAAGGTGTCATACTGCTCAGTTTTATCCTCATTCTGTTGTCTAGTATTCCTTTTTGAAATATTTTTTTTGTGAGAGATATAGTGTAAAAATTCAAGTGACATTTAGTGAGGAATGTAAACATTTGAAATTTTCTGCATCAGTTCATTTATAGACATTCCTGAGGAAATAATACAAATTAACAGTAAGAAAAAAAAACCTAGTATATTTTTTGTCACTATTTTGTAAATAATAAAGAATTTTTATTGGGCATGATATTGAAATAAACCAGAAAAAGAGCTTTGTATGCATGATATCTCTCCTCTTTAAGAAATGTCATCTAACTAATTTGAAAGTTCTTTAGAGAGGTAGGTTGTGTCCTTAGTATGTGTACTTATAATACCCCTTGTCATTAGTTCAGGTATACCCATTTTTCCTACCATGGTAAAAATACAGTCATCTATCTTTTAATATATCTTTTTGTTGACAATCTTGGTTTACATCTTTGTCATCAATCTGTGTATAAAAAGTACTTGGTTTTTTTATCAGTTAATATGTATGTTATCATGAATCTGTGTATAAAAAAAACAATTGATCACATTATCAATCAATGTATACTTCAGACTTCTCATCGCCATCACCGGTTCCATAAGTTTTATCACCAGCCGTCCACATTCCTGTCTTCCCATGAGCCTCCTGTATACATGTCTGACGATGAATCTATGGCACCAGATGATCCAATGTACGATGACACAAACAGTAACCTACCTGATACATACACCCCAGACATTTCTGTAAGTTCCTAAGGTACCTAGTATGTATACACTGTATATGATTCTATGATGATTATCGTGAAATGCATGTAACAGCCTTAGCACGTTTCTTCACTGTATATAATGTATTAGAATGGAAACTGATGTTTCATTTTATTTGCTTGTATTTTACAAACACTCATATTACATGTATATTTGTGAGTATAATTTAATCTGATTGATAAGTAGTTGGTTTTGGCTGTTTGTAGTTAATTATACCTGTTGCATTCTACCTAGTACATTACTTATAATGAATGTCTACAATATTATCACTATTCAGGATGACGAGAGTATACCTGCAGAGCTGAGAGAGTCAGAAGAGTATTCAGAACTGATGAGACTGAAACGACTTCGTGTGGAAAAAGTTCAGGGCAGGAATGGTATACCTCCACAACACATTGGTTTTAAGGTATATATTGCAAGCGTAAATAACAAGTTTCTGAAAGTGAATCATACTAACCACAAAGTACTGACAGTGTATGAAACAAATCACACATTACTAACAGTGTATGAAACAAATCACACATTACTAACTGATTCAATCAAACCACAAGATACTGGGAGTGTATAAAACAAAGTGTAAGGTACTGATAGTGTACCAAACAAACCACAAGGTACTGACAGTGTACCAAACAAACCACAAGGTACTGATAGTGTACCAAACAAACCACAAGGTACTGACAGTGTACCAAACAAACCACAAGGTACTGATAGTGTACCAAACAAACCACAGGGTACTGACAGTGTACCAAACAAACCACAAGGTACTGACAGTGTACCAAACAAACCACAAGGTACTGATAGTGTACCAAACAAACCACAGGGTACTGACAGTGTAGCTAACAAACCACAAGGTACTGATAGTGTACCAAACAAACCACAGGGTACTGACAGTGTACCAAACAAACCACAAGGTACTGATAGTGTACCAAACAAACCACAAGGTACTGACAGTGTACCAAACAAACCACAAGGTACTGATAGTGTACCAAACAAACCACAGGGTACTGACAGTGTAGCTAACAAACCACAAGGTACTGACAGTGCAGCTAACAAACCACAGGGTACTGATAGTGTGTCAAACGAACCACAAGGTACTGACAGTGTTCCAAACAAACCACAAGGTACTGACAGTGTAGCAAACAAACCACAAGGTACTGACAGTGTACCAAACAAATCACAAGGTACTGACAGTGTACCAAACAAACCACAAGGTACTGACTGTGTATCAAACAAACCACAAGGTACTGACAGTGTAGCAAACAAACCACAAGGTACTGACAGTGTAGCTAACAAACCACAAGGTACTGACAGTGTAGCAAACAAACCACAAGGTACTGACAGTGTAGCTAACAAACCACAAGGTAGTGACAGTGTAGCTAACAAACCACAAGGTACTGACAGTGCAGCTAACAAACCACAAGGTACTGACAGTGCAGCTATCAAACCACAAGGTACTGACAGTGTAGCTAACAAACCACAAGGTACTGAAAGTGTAGCTAACAAACCACAAGGTAGTGACAGTGTAGCTAACAAACCACAAGGTACTGACAGTGCAGCTAACAAACCACAAGTTACTGACAGTGCAGCTATCAAACCACAAGGTACTGACAGTGTAGCTAACAAACCACAAGGTACTGACAGTGTAGTTAACAAACCACAAGGTACTGACAGTGTAGCTAACAAACCACAAGGTACTGACTGTGTATCAAACAAACCACAAGGTACTGACAGTGCAGCTAACAAACCACAAGGTACTGACTGTGTATCAAACAAACCACAAGGTACTGACTGTGTATCAAACAAACCACAAGTTACTGACAGTGTATGAAATAAACTATGTATTAGGCCTTAGAATGTTAACATTTTGTGAAGAATTTTAAAAGATTGTCTCACCAACAGAAAAGAATGCTTATATCTCATTTGAATGTTTTGAAGGCAGATAATGGTATGATAACTTTAATCAATAACTCATTGTTGACTGTCTCACTTACTATGTGAAAATTCCTTCTCATTCATTTGCTGTGTATGTCATTTTTTTTCATAACATTCTAAAATAAATTTTGGCATGTATCAGGGCAGCAATAAATAAGTGTAACTAACATACTCTAGATAGCATGGTTTGATCACAAAATGTAACTATACCTTCAAGTAAACCGACAACACAGGAATTTTGGATCTTGATATGTACTCTTGTTTGCACAGTGTGACCGCTGCCAGTGTGAACCCATTGTTGGCACCAGATGGCACTGCAGTGACTGTCTCCAGGAAGAGGCTGTGGACTTTTGTGACATGTGTGTGGAAAGGTACATTCTTTGTTGATAGCTTTCTGGGTGCCAAAATGTTTTTGAGGAATAAAATTTTGTATGGAAGAGAATTTTTAGTTGTTGTAAACACAATAACACAAAAATAAGGAATAACAAATTCACTTTTAAAAGTTAGTAAACAGTGATAAATGCTACAAACATATTATTATGGTATTATATATTTGTATATACAATTTCGGAAGACGTCTGAAAACAACTGTTATTTTATAGATACATGAATTATCTTCTGGAACTACACTTCAACATAGGATCGATGACAATTTCTTGTTTAAAGTAAAGGTCCTCACTCAGTAAATGCAGTCTGAAATACTTTTGTTTTCAGCAATTTTGAAACCAGAAAACACAACTCTAGTCATCGATTAAGACCAATCAGTGTGCCTGAAACAACAGGCTTGGTGGACACTGATTACACAACTTTCACCCCAGGAAACTACAATTACCTTGACTCTAACTACATGCCAGCCAACTGAAGCTGTCTACAAGAATAATGTGATGCTACTGCAGTGGGTACATAGTAAAACAATGTTACAAATATCAACTATTTTGAAATTAAAGCATTGCATACAACTTCATAGGTATTTGTTAATATTTCTGATATTACGTATCAAAGAGGTTTTTTTGTGTCAAACATGCTTGAAACAAATACATTGGATAAGTTGAATGTTTTGTTGGACCCAATTTTTTCTCTTCTTTATCTTAGTAAATTAAACATGGATGATTCGAACACTGTTGAGTCCAGAACTGTGTTTGTGTCAAATACATTTTGTGGTCCATCCCTTCTAAGTTCTACCAAAATTTCCTTTTTTGTGTCAAACATTCAGGCATCGCTTTGTCTCAGGTAAAAAAGTCCTGGATTTGGTCCAAATGTATTTTGTGATCCATGCCTTCTAAATTGTACCAAAATTTCCTTTTTGTGTCAAACATTCAGATAAAAAAATCTGGGTTTTGTTCCGAATGACTTACTGTGGTTGGTCAGCTGCTATTAACAAGTCTTATTGTAATTTTTGATCGAGCATTAATCCGTGTTTACACTTGTGAAAATTAATATTTATTCAGAAATAGGTAACCAAACTTTATACACCGCAGTCTGTTAACAGTAAATCTACTGTGTATTGTTTCCTTTTTCGTGGCATGGCTGTCGGAAATATAAGGAGAAAAAACAAGTGATAACTATCGCACATCGCACAAAATATATTTACTGGATATGCTTGTACATATTCAAAGTACAAATTTTATTTTATTCTATTTTATGGTTACAGATGACATTACACTTTTACGATGCTTGTATGTGTAAACTTATGCTTCAGTAACATGGCTGCAGCCTTTGGTATATTGGTTGTTACATTTACCAGATACATGTAATCCAAAATTGCTTTCAAAAACAGCACCAATTAGAAGAAATATATGTCAGATGCATAACTAGATGTACATAAAGGCAGACCACATTCTCTCAATGTCAACAGGACTGTGGGAAGTTTAGGTGGTTACTCCAGGAGACAGGTATTATCCTCTCTAATCCCTTGAAAATTAGGTCGATAAAAATAATATAATATGTGGGTTAACTCACATTGATGACAGGTGATAAAAAAGTACAAAACTTTCTTGTAATAAAATAAATGTCACCTTTTATTTCAAGTATGGAAATTGGATGATCATACATTACATACACAGAAGTTAAAGCAATGTTGTGTAAAGATATCCTCGTTATAAATAGTTCACACATCACACTTAAATTTGCATAACAAAAACTAATATAGAACAGATGTGATGAAGCTGACGTTTGTATAATTCTGACAGAAAATGGCAGGATGCTTCAGCCTTTATCTCTCCCAAGAACATCTTAATTACTTCCTTGTTGACCTAGGACATCAGGTAACCCCTAAAGGAAAACAAAAAATGTGTCTCAGACAAAACTGACTTGTAAGGCGAAGTTTTTATCATACAGTAGCCATGTTTTGAACAAATTTAATCTGATACTTGCTCCCACACTTCACAAGTGCAGTCATGTATTTGTCATTAAATTTAACTCTGCCTTAACCTACAGCTACTTGGTAAAAAGACCAGTAAATAGAAGTGACTTGTGTCGTCACAATATACAGTGTAACCATGCCATACTCGGATCATGTATGTCATCAATTATGTCCTGTATTTCACTGTAACCTTTTAACTGTACCATTACAAATGTATTGCAATATCTCACCACTGAAAAGTTTAAGGGAAAACAATCCTATCATATGTGCGTGACTCAGAGAAATATCAACTCCAGAATAAGATCGGTTGATGTTTAATACTTGACAAAGTCTTTTCCTTAACGCCAACCATCTTACGTTCTCTTTCTACATCTGACATACAAATATTTTGATTATCAGTCTTTTGAATCAAAATTACGTAAAGTTGTAATTGAAAATCATTTTCAAGGAGATTTATTGATAAAATCTTTCAATAATTTAGTTATCAGCTATATATATCCATATTATTTCACTACTTGGCTATAAGTGGGATGAAGACATCCATACACGGTATGTCAGAGAGACTTTAATATTCCAGGGTAAAGTATTAATTACTTCATGAATTCATTGTGATGACATGTATGATATCAACACTGAATTACCATTTTCAAACAGGGAAATTGAAATCTTCATTTCCTTTTTCATAATTGCATTTATAGTATTTTTTACCATTACTTTGATATCCTAAATGCCCCAATTAATCTGAAAAGGACAAATTTATACCTGGGGCTGACCCTGTAGCAAAATGGTATTGTTATAACTTTCTCTAGAAAAACGGATACTTACGGAAGTTTCATTCTCATGAATACTCTGCATGTAAAAAATGACAGAAGTATACAGACAAATCCGACTGCCAAAAGGAGGATACGGTTTAGTTTTGGAGTTGTTGGTTTATTTGTTTGGTCCAATATGACAAATCCCAATCCACCCAAAGTAAATAGGAAGCTGGAAGCTAATCCCTCCATAATATACTGACCATTCACTCTGTAGGGCATGAAAGCAACCTGAAGACAAAACAACATAAGTAATCAAAATTTCATTGATGTATCATAGGTAAACATCAAGTCAAGTCTGCAATATACATGTATACCATACTTTGAACACATGATTTCTCAACAAACAATAACTTTATCTTGTGACAGTTCCATTATTATCTATATTTTATTATAATCAAAATCCTCTCTACAAATCAGTTTTGCATCTCTAATGCTGTGATAAAGCTGGAAGTTTTCATTATTTACATACATATATATATAGACAGTTACACTTGAGTGTCAGGTTGTTTCTGAAATTTTATGAGTGACCATTAAAAATGGTAAAAAAGCATATATTGATGTTCATGGTAGTTATGTTCAACACTCAACGGAGGATTTGTAACATTTCTATTCATAAAATATTGATATAATTTGTATTACCAAAGTAACAAAGCCTGCATCTTTGGTAAATATATGTACATTTTATACATTCTTGTCATTTTTATAGATATATATGGCCTGTTGATTAGGAAGTTATATCAGGTCCCTGTGTTTTGATGTCAATTTCTAAGCCGTGTACATGTTATACCAATATTGACCAATATTTCTGATACATTGTATTATTGAAAATCCATTTATAAGTTTCTATTTCAATTACATTATTATCAATAATAAATTGTTTAGAATTTCCAAACATTACAAATGAGAATATCTGTTGGTAAGTACAAGACTTTCTCAAGGATTATGCCACACTGAAAGTAAATTAGCTTTGATTTGTGTTGCTTTTCCTTTAAGGTTAGGTGCTTTCTGGCAGTGAATGGGTACACTGATTAAGTCTGCATATACAGCTAATAATAGAAACAAAAAGCATATGGTATACTTACTGGTTTTGAATTTCCTCTTTCATCTGTTGTTGATCCAATACTGGGAGGCTCAACAATAACATCATAGATAATACCTAAACAGAGATGATAAATGTTGTAATGATATCACAAATTTTCATACCTACAATTACAGAGGACAAGTGGCTGTTAGATCAATGATGCACGTTTAAAAAGGAAAATTAAAACAAATTTCAATATTGATATATCTATTTTGTACCAAATATAGACTTTTATACATTACAACCATAATAAAAATTTTGTGATATAAAGTAATGAATTGACAGGATTTTCCGGCAGCACTGTAATCTCATGCACTGACCAAGGTGGAAATTAGGGTGAAAATGGCAATAAGATTATAGCTGAAATAGCCCCATTGATTAGCTTCCATAATATATTAACTGATAACAATTTACTATTCCAATGATGATCATTCAGCTATGCTTTGTTAAAAACTAGTCATAGATGTACAAGTGTCTATGGGCCTCATGTCTCTCTTTACAGAAGACACCCACTAAGGCTTATCCACATGGCTGCCTTGACCTAAGGCTTGAAAAAACATTGTTTTCTCTACAACTACTACATATCATGTTGTTAGAAATGGTACTCTAGACTCACAAGAAAGAATCAAATGCAAACACTTGTCCTGAATACCTCATCTCACCTTTGTTTTTTTTGTAAAAATCCATAATGTTTCCTGTGTTATTGTCTCTTTACTCATTGCAATTGTCTGATGGCCACTTTTGATTTTCCATTACTTATTTCTATGATATTCTGTTGCTTAAAGTTTTTCCATTTTCTTTTGTTTTTTTTACATACTGGTATATTTACACAGTAATAAACAAATACACAATTTTTTTTATCTTTATTTCAACATTTAGAGTGAAAGAATCAGGTCTTCAGATATGCATTTGATATAATTTGTTACACCAACTATATTTACAAAACAAAATCCCCATAATTCTTAATGACTTGGTGACAGCCATCTTCCCAGAAAGGTGTCAAGATACGGTAATATGTGACATCTGTCTGATGCACAGAGTCGAAGTAATTTTTTTGCCAAAATGTTGGGGATAAGAGCATCAGAGTTGGTTAATGCTGTGCGATATTATAAAAATACTGGTGTACTGTGATGTACAGAGGTCGATACAATATACCAGTATGCAGTCCCTAAAAACTGGTATATCGCAATGGTTTAAAATATGCATGTTTATCAGTAATAATTCACTATTTTCACAATATTTGTTAACACAAATGATGTTAATTGTTTAAATGTAAAACGGGCTTACGAGAATGTCATTCTGTCATTAATTGTTTAAATGTGAAATGAACATACAAGATTGTCATTCTGTTGCTGCGTGGTCATTGAAGCGTTTGATCCCCTTGTTAAAATCAAGCATTTTTGTGATTGTAATTCTTGACCTACTTATTCACAGCATCGGTGCTACTAAACAAAATTTGCACATGAGGTTCGTATGTAAGATTATCTAAATTCACAAAAAACAACATATTAAACCTTAATCATTTTGTAATAATATATTGATATGATCGTAATCAACTGACGTACATAGCGTCAAGTTACTGGTTTCGGTGAGTGTAAGGATAGGCATGAGTACTCATTTAAGCTTCTCCAGAAATGATAATATTGTTCAGCTTCTAGTTTGCAGTGCATGTGACATGATAAAACATTCAGTAGTCACCGATTTAGGCATCTCACCAAAAAAAGGTACAATAGGCATTTTATATGCATATAACTATAGTCAATTTATTGCAATGTGTACCACAAAATCTTGTTGGATATTGCAATACGGTTTTTTTCTGCAATACCCAGCACTAGATTTGGTTGCATAAAAAATGATTGGAAACACATTTTTTGGCCTAGTAAAAATCACCCTGCTCCACTGAGGTTTGAACTAGCGACCATTCAGTCTCTAGCTACACACCATATAGTGCTTGACATTCTCAATACAATAGTCAAGGCTAGTAAGGTGACCTGTACTTGGAACTTCTTAACACTACTCTTCATTCACAATGCTTCAAACCCAAAGAAAACCATAACCCAGGTTCAATATCTCCAAGTAAGCACTCATTCTTCAACTGGTGCTTGAAGTTTGACAACAATGATATCAGTCCACAGTATTAAGCAATATGTATGCCATGTACTGCAGTCCATTGTTAATATGTCACTATGTGGTATAAGAAATGACTGTGATGAAGACTGTCAACGCACAGGGATCAGACTTTTTTTATGTCAATGATTCCTGCTACTTTAGCAGTATAATATTCATATTTCACATATAGAACAACTTGGTACCGAAATGACTAGAATTCCCGATTCCCATGGTCAACGCACCAAAATCTATAATAGCGAGGAGTAAAGAATAACATGCAATGACCACCTCAGAATCAAACCAGCGACGCTGCGTATTCTAAGCTTAAACCTTCTGTTTGACTATAGGAAATTCCCTTTAGCCGGTACTAGCTAGTGCCTGTATTGTCGGGGTGTTCTCATCCGATTCGTTCATCGACTCCTACGGGTTGGTATGCGATTCTTGATGAAAACACGTATATATCTTATCAACATGTCAGAAATCAATATTGTACGACTAACTACATCTGTTTTCATTTTAACGATCTTATTTAAACCTCGAGTAAATGCCGGTCCATGTGCAGTTATACACAGTAAACTCGGTAAGCGGCATGAGAATGGCTTTTGCAATATTTATACAAACCTCCAGTTACAAGAAAGTACGACAGTAAGATCGCTGAAAACATAAACATCGCAGAAGGCTGCTTTAACCATGTTGGTTTCTTTAGCTTGAGATTCGGACAAACCAAGACGTTGTAAGGCAGGGCATACAGAGCTTCCATCGTGAAAGTTGGAGATGTGGCAAACGGAAGTGAAACTTGTAAACACCTGGCGGGGTGTAGCAGAGTAAGTATTTCAAGGGAGGCTACTTTTACAAGTCCTCCTAAGCGGAGGAAAACAGCTTGTGGATTTTCATTGCCTTTCCTGGAATTACATTTTAAAGATATAGGACATCTAATATGACTTTTAATGAAGTAAACAGTTTGATTTTTTTGGTGATGGTTACTCGTCTCATACAATTACTCTCATCGAAAATCCATCGCTGTGATCTTATAGCTAGTAGGCCTACACGTATAGTATTTTGCATTTAAATTTATTTTAAAATATATTTTATGTTAAAAAATTAAACTTACGTTTCAACCAATGTACTTATGATTTTATGCATGAAAATAAACACTCCGACATAAGACATGAAATATAAATGCCATACAATTAAGTTTCGATGGTAGAAGTAGAATCGAGTTAAAAGCGAGACCTTCCATAGCGATCTTGTTCCTGTTTATTTATTACAATTATATGTTCGATGAACTTATTCCAGAATGAAGTTTAGAACATAAAAGGATTAGTCAGTATGTTTCACGCCATTAGTTACAGAGATCTTTCCATGCACAAAAGGCATCTAAAAACCCTAAGCAAAAGACAGACAGACAGTGATAATTCCTTTGATTAATGATAGACTACCAGCAATTCAATTCAACTTCATCAGCACGATTATAATTACATGTGTAATTTAATGGTTAGCTCGAACAACATAGAAATAACAAATTAAAGTTTACAAATGGAGAAAAGATTTTAAATCGTATAATACTTCATCAATCTGCCATTTCTTGTTACACAGCGTCTCATCAGAGGTACCATACTTTTAAAGTATGTTTGGGTTTTAAATACTACACGTCGTTGTTTCACAACAATTTTAACGTAACTATTCTGTAGGTGAAGCAAAGAAATTGTTTTTATTGTCGATATACGACTTTCAGTTCATATCATACTGTTGTTTTATTTATCATATTTTGTCATATTTATCATATTGAAAAAGAAACCAGTGGATTACCATGAAGTTGTAATGTCGTAGATAGATTACTACCGACGCCTAGAAGTCAAAATGATTGAGGATACATGTTAAAGAAAGAGAAGATACGTTGTTGTTTTTTTTTCTGATCTCAAACCGTGTTAAAACATCCACTACACCAGTAAATCTATAAACCATTGAGTTGATACTTTGTACTTCAGTCACCATATTTTAGAGATTCGGTTTGAACTGTTTGGTACTTTATAAATCTGACTTTTCCCTTCCTTGTCTCAAAGTTATGGTTATATAGTGTTATGGTAATGATCATCAAACTGTGGTTTCAGGATTGTCAATCAGATACGGAAGACGAAATATTTCATAATCCTCAATACTGCAACAAACATCAGTTTACTATGAATATCAGTTAACAAATATTAAAGTCGACATTTTGTCAACAAGTTCACAAGGCTAGATAAAAGCATTAGATAATTTTTTTATAGTTTATCAATACTTTTATCATAACCAGCTCATAACAATTGAATACGTTGTAAATGTAAACAGGTTATCACTTGACTTATAAAGGTCCCCCACCCCACAAGTTCTATGTACGGATACACAATTTCTTCTACTTCAGAGGAAGATATCATTTAGAACTTAAGTACTGGCATTCATTTTATATATGGCTGAATCGTGAAACTTCAGAAAGTCGACATCGCACATCCTGTTAAGGTTCAGAGTCGAGTTGGAACCCGAACACCAACATGATTGACAGCTAATGCATTATCAATAAAATGATTATTTAAATAGGTTAACCAGTATCCTTAATTACTAAATAGATTAAAAGGTAGAATCTTTGCACCCTGTCCGAAGTGTTTTGACCATTAAACCGCATCTTAGACAAGACTTATAGATATTCGGAATCCTTCGGGCTAATTTTCACAAAAGATAACGTTAATAGACCAGGCCCCACTTGTATAAAACATCTAAACTTGAGATTTCCTCAAGTCGAGATTTTCCTCAGCTGATATCTCCTCAAAAACAGCTTGTATAAAATTTTCTCAAGGAACAGGAGGAAGTCATCAGCTAGGATGTCCTGAAATTCCTTGAGGAATTTTCATACAAGATATTTTCAAGGAGATATTAGCTGAGGAAAATCTGGGCTTGAAGAAATCTGAAATTGAGATGTTTTATACAAGTGGGGCTAGATATTCTATTACACACTTTGCTTTTGGAATGCTGATCTTATCTCAGATTGTGTTACTCTGTTAAATGACAAAGTTCTGATAGGTTATCACAATAGCTCAGTAAAGTTTATCATTCGAATGAATATTGATACGACCTAGTTGTACCAATAAGTTGAAAACGGGCAGTTTATATGAAGTTTTGAGGAAATTTCGCTTGTGGAGTACATTTTTTTTGACAGCGTAGTTGACGGCATGAGTCGGTTAAAAGCGACAACAATTCCAGCGTTTTCTGGTTGCCACGGTACTTCTCTTTAGTATAACACAGAAAATCTTGAGTATATTTCAAGTAAATTTTAAGGAATTATTTTAAATCACAGATTTCAAATTCCTGAATTCCGACTTGGTGACCATTTCCCCGGATTTTTAGGATCCGCTAATATATCAGCTGGTTTCTTAAGTTTGGAAAAACATGCTATTTGGAAATTGCAAACAATAAGGCACAGAGACCCACTCTTTTATTAATCATGAAAAGCATCTTCGAAAATTAAAAAAAAGTATAATACCAGTAGATGGCACTTTTTGGTTGCTACGCAGTTTTAAGCTAGTTAACTCAAATGGAGGACTAGCATTTTCGCACGATTGTTTTTCTTAAAATCCGAGTATCGTTACCTTTCGTTGTAATAAAAGACGGAAATTTATTTATGGCAAAAGGTTGCCTCGAAAATAACAGCGAATGTCTGTTATTCAGGAAATAATAAGGATGATATATGGAAAGAAATATTTCCTGTTTCACATATTCTGATGCATGTACTAGAGTAATTAGTGTACCAACAAATTGTTTATTTGGTTTTTGTATACCTTATTAAATCAAACCATTCAAAAAGTCATCACCGGAAAAAAGTTTAATACTGTTTTTTTTCCTTCATTTCTCAGAGGAGTGCACCATTCTATAACTAGAGAACAACAGTTCAGTTGAGATCCATGGCTAGTATGGGACCGTACCACACTTGTTCTATTTCTTGTTGGAGGCTGGTTTATGTATTCACTAAATATCAATTATATAAAATTGTGTTGAGAATTCATAGTTTCATTTTTGTCAGTATATTCTACAACTCAAGTGTCAAAATTTGCAGAGGTTTGTCTTACTGATATGCAAATTTGAATGAATGTTTGTTAAGAATATATCTTGTTCTAGTCACGCACTTGCCTGTTTATCTTGATATTGGCTGGTATGTTGGGATGTTGTTCTCTCTGTAGTACATTGTATTAAGATGTCTATGCACCCACCAGTGATAACGTGTTGTCATAGGCCTCCATTCCATCAATAAGTTATTCTCTCTTTCCGCTCAATAGAGATATTGAATTGTTATTTGGTATACAGTTATATAACGGTATTGTAATATGAGATAAAGTTATGATTTGGCTTCACCACACTATAGGACGCGTTGTATGTAAAACATTTTTACAACAATACTTATACAGCTGATTTAAGATATAGTTTCTGCTAAGTAAATAGTAATGATAGATAAAGTATTAATTTAGTTTTACCACATGTATCGGATGCGCTGTATGTAAAACATTTTTATGATAATACTACAACAGCTGATTAAGGATATGGTTTCTGCTAAGCAAACAGTATGATAGATAACATGACAGGTAATTCTTACATAGAACATCCGATACCTGTCATTTGACCTAATTTCCTTATTTGCAAAAATATGATCATTTGAGTTCGCAAATTGAAATATTCTTTATTCTTTTTAACAAAATAAAGTATTGCAGAAAGTGGAAAGTCTTGTCTTCTGCATTGGATTTGGGGGCGGGGTCCACAGAAAATAGTATGACTAAATGTAGAGAAAGTTCATAATATGCATTGAAGTTTTTGAAATAAGACATTGAATATTTTGGAACCCATTGATTATTTTATTTCAAATTCTTAACCACAAGTTCTTCTGACAAAGTCCCAATTAATCCTCCTTTCCATAGATTCTGCAGGTAAATCTTCAACATAATCAAAATGAAGTGACTTTCATTATTATCATATTTTTATTTCATTCCTTTGTACGCTACATTACAATACACAACAATACAATTATAACGATGATAGGAAAACAAGATAAAAGCTTATATTACTTCCTCTCCCCCATTACAGGTACAGCAATTTACATGGACATTCATATACAACACTGATGAGATAGACAAAACAAAATTGAAACAATAGAAAAAGTACATCAGTAAACTTAATTAGTTAGGCATTTAATAACATTTCTTACAATCAGCTGTAAAAAAAAAAAAAAAATCAAACAGTATGTGTTGGTGCCGGAAAACAACTTTCCTGTGTATACAGTGTTACAAAAATGCTATTGTAATTGGCGTCCTTTAGTATCAGAGTATTGCCATATGGATTTAGCAGATATCAAGAAACTCCCAGTTAAAGCTCATTCCCAGCTGGTCATTAACTGTGGACGTGCGGCGTGGTCAATTCATACCTTATACAGCTTGGGGAAATGGGAGTGCGCCTATTACAAAGTAAATACCACTGAACAAGCTTTACAATGTATGCAGTCCTACAACTTTATCAGTAATTGAAACCTAAATATGTATATTACATACACGCTCAATCAACAGACAGTCATATCAAAGCAGATTTATCTTCTTTAACTTTGATCCTATGGGACATTTATCTGCCTTGCCAATCATAAAAACAGAGGGTATGAAGAATTCTGTATTTTTCGGTAAGTATCAGAATTTCTGTGTCACCCATCTTATTTGGCATGCTATTGATAATATTGCCTTGGATTATTTTTCTGTTGTTTTTTCTCTCGAATCTATCATTGGTGTGTGTGTGTGTGTGAGAGAGAGAGAGGGTGTATGTGTGTGGTTTTTTGGCTAATTCTCATGTTAATGGCTGTCCTCTCAATGTCATATCTTACACACTGCGAGAAGTTACTACTCTTGTATCTTACAGTATAATCTTCCTTAACGGTATGTATTGTAAGTCACACACTGTATAAAATCGGTAAATCTACAGTAATTGGTATCTATCATCATTTACAGCTGTTGTTGTCATTAACTGAAGCAGCAAATATCGACAAAGAAATCACAATCTCATTATCAGTATGCATATGTCTAACTTTACACCCACCGAACAGCTGATCATAGGGCACAAAGTTAGCTTTCTTAGGAATACATCGATAATAACAACAGTCTCGTTACTGTGACAGACAGATGTTTCAGGCATGGCTTTAGATATCATTAAGTCTGTGATGAAGGAGCCAACCTCAAAAATAAACCTATCCAATAAGCTTTTAGTTTTAGTCTTCTTCAAACCTGCATTTGCTTACTGTTAAAGAAAAAAAGCCGCGTCCTATTTTCGAGGTTTTAGGATACGTCATATAAACAAACATGAGACATGGACTATGTTAAATTTATGTCAAGCTATAGCTTCAAAATAAGGACTAAATCTAGAGCTGGAATTCAGATAATCATGTTAAGAGATTTCTGTGAGGTATTATAAGAATTACAGTGAAAATAGCCGGGCTGTCAACACCTTTGTTATGACACTGCGGATAAACAAAATAAAGAATACTAACACCGAATCTACTATTCTGGTTTACTCAGCACGTCCACCCCAGATTCAAGAAGACTCACTGTAAAAAGTTAGTAAAACGTCATTACATAACACATTTTTAGATAAAAGGTAGATTTGTTACACAAATATGCATTAATACCATGTTTTAGATTGATTCCTTGTTGTCGGTAGCGAACATAGTACTGGAGGTATGATATACATTTAAACGTGATGCACTTGTCAATGTCTTAGATCGTTTCGGAACTAAGCAAATTAATCATTTACCGAGATGATAGCATTGACGTACGCAACGCTGATATGGCGCAACAGCTCATCTTTATAATGCTGTATCTGACAATGAAATCGTATTTCTGAATGATGATGGTCTTTTCGAGAATGTGAATTTTTGTGTCAGACATTGAATTATAAAGCGGGTGATCTGTGATAAGACAAATATATTATCTTGTTAATGTGATTAAACATCTGTTAGATACTCATTAGTGGGATTCCCATATACATCTCCGTAAAGGTATTTTAAACTACACCATTTAACATAATGTTAGTAGCTATTTGTATCAGAAGGCTGTGAACGTATTTAGTAATACTTAATTTTACAGGTAAATTAGACATCAATAACATGCAAAACGTTATATTCAAAGTATTTCAGAAAATGTTTGGGCAATAACATCAACATCATTCGTAACTATCGTTATTGCAACCATTAACAACCAATAACGATTCAATCATTAGTTTTGATGAAACTATTTACATCCAATGAGAGAATATCGACATATCAGCAAAATCGGAATTCAAACAAAAAGATGTACATTGTAGATTAGAAATCTTTAAAGATTCTTCCTACGGATACTATATAAAAGTACAAGACAATTGCTCCATCGACGACAACTGCCATCTGTCTAATAAATGTCTCGTTATTAGAGTGGGAATCGAGTTAACAAAAACGATATTGAAAAGGAAAAGGATATTATCATGCTTATCATAAATCCTACAGAAATGCAGAATCAAAGAAGAAAATAGTTAAATCTAAATAAAAAATTGTAAAATATATTGAGGTTTGATATCACTTTATCCTGTATATAATCCTTCGTTTACATTAACTCATTAATTCAACACATATGCAGCATAAACGAAACTTAGATTGAGTATATACGCACTCTCAATCGTATTGCGAGAGTTGTATTTGCTCGGTTCTATCCGGGGAATCAGGCTGTTGTCGATTTATGCTACATGGTAACAATGGATAAGCAAGCAGTTTGACGCGTTCTCGGAAAGATTTGTACATAAAGGAATAAACAAAGACGTTAGTGAAACTGTTACTGTTGGCGAGCCACATAGTTGTAAACTTAACTGATGGTGGGATGGTAGTGATGTCAAACAAACTTATACTGACCACTTCTAAGACATAAGGCCCCCACACAATGAAGTAAATGGTAGAAGTCACTATAAGCAACTTCACAGCTTTGATATCGTTTGTGCGAGCTGCAGAATAATTCTTGCTCTGATGGCTATTGCGTCGAGCGACAGATATTACCTTACGCATTACGCTTACGTTTGTGAATATCAAAATGGTCCCGGAAAGGACAGGAATATACACCGCTGTCACGACACAAAACCACTTATATTCCCAGTACAATCCACATATCATTTCCTCTTGGCTGAATTGGTAGTACAGAAATGAATCTTTTGTTGGTAAAGGCAGGAAGAACGTTGCCAAAGCCACAACCCATAAACAAAACACAATAATATATGTCCGTTTGACGGTCAACAAAGACCGATATCTCAATGGCTTTTTGATTGCCAGGTATCGGTCAATACTGACCAATGACAAACTCCAAATAGATATAGTAACAGAGGATCCATGCATAATTCCGGCGATCTGACACCATACTGGTCCATAAGGCCATTCTCCAACAGCTACAACCACAATACAGGGAAAACAGGACACCAAGCCAACTAACAAGTCGCTACAACTCATATTAAGAAAACATATGCGCGTTATCCTTGGAAGCTGTTTGGTCTTCGACACAATACAAATATTCAAACAATTTGTCATTATTATCATTACTGATATCAAAGCAACGAAAAAGATTTTCACATATCTAGTTGGGTCATCACTGAAGGTGTAACCCATATGTTCAGAAACAATGTCCTTTGGTATGGATATATTACATTTAGAAGTTGTAGAGTCTGGTGATTCGGCCATTCCAATAATACAGCAATTGATTTTATCTTCGTTCATTTCCTCAAGGCTTTGTATGGAAACTGTTGGTAAAAAAGTGATAAAGCTTCCATTTATCAAACTATATTTCAATTGAAAATCTAGGAAGTCAATTTCGAGGCTCAGCTAATAAATTACACGTGATGTAAAATTTAAATTCCACTAATTCAACTGATGGTTGAGATATGATTCAATTAGGAAACAAAAGATGGCAAAAGTAAAATTAAGAAGTTTAACAAAGAGCAAAGCTTTATGTTTATAGATTGTAGTTTAATATCGTGTTTAGTATAATGTAATTACCTCTTTATAATCGATTATGTCACAGAAAAAAAACCCAACTGACATACTCTATCAAATCGGACTCATGCTGCATGTACAGTAATTTTACCACTTATCACTTAAACACATAGAAAATTTTCATATTTGGAATGCTTCTACTTATTATCAGCTATATCTAAGTGACTCACCATTCAACGTTAAGAAAATGGTTACAATTTGTATAACTATGTCACCTACCTTAGTGTAGTCTGTATTACTTTTCATTGCATGCATGTCTGAACAACGTGTCCTATTCAGTCAGCAAATTGCCCGGTACATGTATCGTGTAAAGATACAACTATCACCACCTACATTAAAAGGTCATCGTAACGGGAAAGTCATTAATGATAAGGATTAATGACAAACTGATATCCAGATATCTATTGGTTCCCGTGCGATGACATCAGATCAGATTATAACGAAATAAGATTGTTTGAAAGCCCGCACAGCAACAGATGCCAGTTTATAACTTGGTATGGTAACGTATCTGTTACTGTAACCTCCAATCATCAAGTCACGCCCACATAAATGATTCTTTGTTCATCATGTATAACGTAGAGAGAAATTGATTTTTAAGCCTCCTGAAACAATATTCATTACTTGGTAAAAACTGATTAAGTCAGTGCTGTAGACAAGATCAAGCAGGGAAAACTTGGTAGATGACAGCAAATACCGGTCATTTAAGTGGCCTCTTGGTTTTACTGTGGTTTCCTTGAACATATCACTGTCTCCGAGGCCTCCGAAGGGTGTTGCTTTAATAAAATGCTTATCATTGAAGACTAAATCAGATAAAATACTGGAACATAGCATATACTACATTTCCTCCACTCACAAAAGAGTGACGTTGTACTGACATCATTTTGAAGGCATTACCGCAACACTAAGTATCTTATAAAATCAAATCAGGATTCATCAAAACGGTATTAGCTGTATGATGGGAACCCTCACACCCTTGATTTTACCCAGTGATATAAATATCATAAATTTACTACTAGATACTACTAAAAATAAGTGTAACATGCAAACATAAAGGCCTAAAGGAAAGTTTCTGAACAATTTATATAATATGCGCTGCATAGTCTCCACCACTAAGTCATGTCTGAACGGGCCCCAACCCTTTGCCATAAAAGGAAGTGTGAGTTGGGATTGGTTGGAGGTAGTCCCTATTTTCATACATTATTGAATTAACTTCAACTAAAAATTGCAGATAAACACTGGTTACAATGTCATTATCTGGATAAATGGAATCTCCATCTGAACGTTAACGTTAAACCAGCTAATTCGCCTTCTGGACCCTCCATTCATACGCAATCGAGTCCCTATTACCAGCCAATTCCCAATATCAAAATCTAACTAAGTACAAGAGCCGATATGGAGGAAGAATGCTCACTTGCTCCAACATCACCTCTTGGCACCATTTTTGTGGTAATGTGGAGCAGATTGTAGTTTTATATTAAGATGAAGTTGCCTTCAGACGATTGTAAATATGTGTGCTATAGTTCCGGTCTAGTTATATTTTAAAGAAATGGTTGACAAAGGAATTAACAGAGATCATGATATGGCAAAAGTTTGTGGTTTGTGGGAAAGGAGGGAATAAACAAACACAGTAATTATTTTCCATGGACAGTCTCTCCCGGTGCAGTATCTTAATATCAGAAATATCGTTCCTGATGTCAATGATGCACTATGAGAAAATTTATATTTTCCCTCGAAATACTATGCTATGAATGTGTGAAAATATCACAACCTGTTTTTTTCACAAGAACGAAACTATCATTTATAATTTCACCGTAAAACTTTATATTTCACTGCAAATAAATATCATATTTCTACGTATGACTCAAATAAATACAACATTCAAAATCACTTGTAAATTTATCATTTATTTCAGATTCGATGAAATCAGAAATGAGAAATTACTATCTGAAATGTGATTATTTACCTTGAAAAAAATTAAGTACCTTAGCATGTGTAGGGAATCGAACAGAAACATTCTTCTAGAACCATGAATGACGAGATGTCATACAAATACAGTAGCACCATTTCATAAAGTAGGTATACAGACCTAATGTTATCAATTATCACGGTTGTCGTTTAATCAATTATTGATAAGATTTGTATTGAACACTAAAATATAATATTTATCACTTGAAGTAAACATACTGTAATATCAATCAAATTAGAAATATTGCCTCTGACACTAAAACATTAATTGATGCCATTGTATCTTACGTCATTTGTTATGTACTTCTTAAATAAATTAAGTCATTCATATGCCGAATTAATGGCCAGACGTCTATTGGAACCCTTAAACAGTCTAGCTTAAAAAAGACATAATCCAAAGATATATCGAATGTGTCTATTGTGCCATCGATACATTTTTTTTAACAAACATAGAGGAGACCTGCTAATTCTCATAGTTTGTTACGTTGTTTTAATGTAAGATGCCCAACATATTCTCGTAGAGACATATAAATTCCGATAATCAATTTGTCATAACGGAAATAGTAGTAAACCACTTGTTGTTACTGAGGTAAACAATCATAGGTAAGAAAAAAAGCTGAATATATGTCGTCTCTCTTCTCAAATAAGGAAAGATTACAACTCTCCATTTTTGAAAATTAAACATTTACTTTCTGTCTCACAATTACGTAATCATGTTTTGATTCAGCATAAAGTTGTAATCTGCACTTTGTGAAGTATCCATTACATTTCATTGTTTGTTCAATAAATCATAATATTGGCCTTTTTTGGTAAAATGTCTATATTTTTAATCATCGTTTGACTTTTCTACTTTAATTGTAGCATCCTTTGTTGGGTCCATGAAGTCTTTCCCACTCAGGTCAGTGAAGTTTGTACAATCTCGAATTGCGGAATTCGGGACCTGAAAATTAAGATAGAGGACATGAGTCTGATTCATTTGAGGATATCATCATGGTAGTAACTGGTATTTTTATGCGAGTATAGTATTTAATATTTCAAACACATAACTAGTTAAGTTTCAGACTAGTAAGTTAAGTTTCTAATCCTAGCAGAGGCATTGAAATCTATGACTTCTGTGACATGTATATATGTACATTAATATATAGTCTATTTTAGTTATTTTCTTTTTTCCATTTTCTTTCGTTAAATTGAAAGGGTACCATCATCTCCAAAAATGTAGCTATTATTTCGTTGTAAAATTAAACAAAAGATGACTATTGAAACCTTGACCTTCATTTCTCTCAAGGAATTATGAATGTATTCAATGCAATTGGTAAAGTAACCCTGAAAATGATGTTATAATGACCACGTGGTGTATGGTCTTTATTGAATCTGAACCCATACATCTATCATACTACCATACTATCATATAAGCTTTCTTTTACGTTGGAGTAATATTTGACCAATATATCTTTTTTTATCTTATGACATATCCTTTTAAATTTACTTTAGCTATAATCATTTTTCGAAAAGCAATAATCGTGAATTGGCGTAAAAGTGATTGTGACGCGAACATAAGTAATAACAGTATTTCAGTAACACGGTGCTTTTACTTGGGGTTCCTTCTTTTACGGAAGCAGAGCCTGACCTAGGGTTCAAAGGTTACACGGCAATATCCTTTTGTTGTTTCCTCCGATCGAAGTTAAATCTAGATTCTTACTTTCCATTACTACTGTGTTGATCGTGGATGACAGGTCTTTTTCCTTAACTGCAGTGAAATCGACCTTGTAATGGTTTTATGGTAGCCGATTTATCTTTTACAAATTTAAAACGACAGCAGACGATTGAGAAGTATTCTTAAAGAAGGACTCCCACAGAACCGTAAAGATTCTATTGTCAAAACATATCGTCTATAATAAAGGGACCTTAAACTATTTTGCAATAAAGTGTTGGCTGCAGATGATATCTAGGTTACATAATACTTTTGTACAAATATCATCAGATTAATTTACATGTTATTTCGATAGTATATAAATGTAATACCTAGCGAGGCATAACATTCTCATAAGGATAAATTGTACCTATGAGTTACCTTTATGAGAGGTGTGTATTGAGGATGATGGTGTTTAATAACAGGGTTATTGGAAGTCTTGTTGTAGGCACATAGGAATGCCCAACGTCTCAGGTCACTGTCGTTCCCGCTACTTGTGTGCAGTAAATTGCAATGAAAGAATAGCGCATCCCCTACAACATCAAAAACCAAATGTGAACAAAATTAAATGAACGAGAGAAACAAAAATGAATAAAAACAAATTTGACTCGGTGTTTATTTGACAATAGGTATATTCAGAAAAGGTATATTGGTTATCTACATCATATTTAATATATGCATGTAGAGAGAATTAAAAAAACTAGATTTTTACCAGGCAATTTGTTATATGTGAAAACGAATGTACGTGAACAGCTACATTATTTTACATATGAACAAAAGGACCATATATTAATATCAAAACAATAGGAAAAGAGGGGGAACAAATGTTTTGTAGAACCATACACTGCTACTGAGTTCTAAGCATTCAGATCTACAATAAATGCTTATGTACAATACAGAAAGAGACTAACAGATCACAGCGAGAAAGTGACGTTGATAATAAGATCCTATTTCTTATCATATATTATTTATTTATGTTAGTTTGTCAGCAATGAGAATGTAATTGTTGTTAAAACATTTATTATTTAATTTACTTTACTCTCTTAAATGTCATATCGTCAAACAGCAATCAAAGGTTTCATAATGAGACACATGACTTCATATAAATGTTGGTATGACCAAAATATGTTATCATACAAAATCAAATAGCATTTTCCGTAATATTGATATGATGTGTTCTTAAGAAAACGGTATAATACCTTTGTCAATAATCAGTTACTGAGTTGTCTTAACTGCGGGCGTTATGTATTACCATTTCTATTTTATCATTTCAAATCAATATGCAGTTCATGATGGTTTCGCTACGTTAGATTTTAAAACATAAGTTTTATGATGGATTTTTGTTAATCAGATGTACTGATATTCAACTTCCTATATTTGCCTAGGTATATTTCTTCATCTGTGTTTTATTTTAAAGAGTAGTCATTTAGTTCCTTAAACTAACAAACAAACCAACAACAATACAAGATATAATATTTGTTTACACAGCTCCCTAATGTCATATGATTCCGCAAAATTAGGATCCGTTGTTGTAATTTATAAAACGACTAGCAATTAAAAGTCAACGTACGGAAGGCAGTTACCTCCCTTCAATAAGTTACTACGCTATCATGTCTATAGCGTTACATTTTGTTTTAAATACGATAACAAGCTATTTTATTAGGATTTAGTGAGCTTAAAGACACTTGACATGTCTGTGAGTAATAACTTGACATGAGTAAACCGCCATCTTGAGTATTGGAACGATCTCAGACTATGATGTGATATCAACTACAAACCAAATGGATCATATTCCTTATATTTCATGATAAAGTGCTTATTGAAAAGGTTTTGTTTATGGACAGAAGGACGGCAAAGGAAAAACGTAAAATTAAAAATGAAAATAAATAAATAAATAAATAAAAAATAATAATAAAGACTGTTGTTTCTATCGGATGCCCTTACCAGGCTGCATTTCCACTTTTTCCAGCGGACACCGGCCTGAATTTTGTATGGCCTCAACACGTTCAATATCAGCACCTGTTTGTCCAGCCATCATCACATGATTTATTCGTCCACACTTGTGCGATCCTCGTAGTATCTGTTTAATAAAATCACAAAGAGGGATGTTAGATTTGTGCTTTGTATAAGATATTGTCATAGTGATAGCAACGTGGTCTTTTTCTCTATGTACATTTTGGGAGACCTTCGTTTAATTCGTGATTTATTCAAATTTTACTCTAGTTACATCAACTTTGAGATAAGACTCTGTTAACAGTACTTTCTTTGTTGTTTTTATGATATAATGACATTATATAATTCTACCTTCAGACACCCGTTTTCCTCCACACACTTATCTATGGCTATGAAGACGGTCAGCATATCAGGAAAGAGACAACCGTTTTTGTACCAGTACCTTGTCAATAGACCGAAACTCGATCATGAATCACTTATATAATTTGAAATGTCTTCAAAATACATTTTTCACATATTGTGAGAAAAATATTACTTACTATTTAATATTTCTAGTGTATCGGTGATTCCTGTTTTATTCTATACGTTGATACTTACAGCGAACAAATGTTTTATCAACTGTAACACCCGAAGAATCTCATACAAAAAGTGACTTTAATACTGTTAAACTTTTTCAACTCCTTTGAAATACATATTATGATACAACAGGAAATTAACACTCTGACGAGAAGAATTCGGAACAAAAACGATGTAATAAGTATCTACCCGTAGTCTTGGTGCCATAGATGACTTCCTCCTGTCCGCGGATTTTTCATCATAAGCTTGGTGTGATAGTGGTACACTTCTCCGCCCAAAAGCTATGAACAGAATGGCAAAACATCCGTATGGAAGGCATGCATTCTCATCAAATTCATCAATAAATATTACTTTTATGTTATATGGGACTTAATGTCTTACCGATGAATTATTTAATGTATTCAACAACAGGTTAACAACATCATGAAAAGGTGGTCCATTGTATGACGATTAATTATATATCTAAATTTACATTATTTCAAAGTGTTTCCATCGAATTTCCTTTCCTTATTTTAAGGTGACCAATCTTTCACTTCACTGAGAAATGCGATTTGTTACGCAAGACAATACAGCGCTAATGAAACAAAACAGCCAGGTAAAAAGACACCTTTTCACAAGTATTGACGGTTTTCTCACATCTAGCTACCATTCCCGTGACGTCATCACCCGGATGATTCCAGAGGCACATTTTGCTTTCCCGGCCTGTACCGTCTGCGACCTAAACAAATGATGATATTATTAAAGAATAAATCTGTATTGAATTTCGTATCTTTTCCAAAACCATTGAAGTTCGTGTATGATGATTAATACACATGATTGATATGTATTACATGTTTCTAGTTTATTGACAGAAAATAGTTACTTCCATAAAAATACAAATTAAACGATTACTTATGCGCTTAACAAATATTCTTTGTTTTCACTTTTCAGTAGGTCAATGACTAAGGTTGCAATGTACATGCTATTTCATATTATACGACTCCTGTGAGGAAACTGATCTGGGAAATTCCTGCTGGATTGGGAGTTTTAGGACACGTATAAGACCAAATTGAATTTGATGTACTCATAGCAACATTTTGAATACATTTTTCTTACGTTTCTCTCTGCTTAACAACAACGATTAATATAATTCCTTTCTTTCTTGGTGATTATCTTTCGTTTGACATTAATGCCGAGCATCTACTAATATTAGTGTCAGATGCTAAATGAGTTAAATTAGTGATACAACTATTTTTTTCATCTTAATATGTTAGTGTGATAACGCTTTAAATGGTCCATATGTAGCCTAACTGACATACCATCCACTGTATCCTTGTGATGTAGTGGTTTACTGACAATGTTCTTATATTTAAAACCATGACGGAGTATTTTCCTCGATGCTTAGATGTGTTATATTATCTTAGATGTAATAAGATGTTCCTTAAAGTAAATGTACACAATGCCTAACTCTCTAAAGATAGAAAAGATCAACAAAAGCTTGAAAATAGGATGCGGCGTATTTTCTCCAATAATAAGCAAGTGCAGAAGTATCTAGATAAGAAATTACATCCTGTTTATGGGATTTATGGACCTTTTCTGGTCTAACTGTTTAGGTCCTTTGGCTTGCAATAATCTTAAAACATAAATTGATTTGGTTATGGTTTTTTATTATAAATGCATTTTATGAGATGTTGTCACTGCTTTTCACATTGACTGCTCTTATCTTTTTCACATGCTGAGCATGTCTATTGATGTAATTTTCTCTAAAGAAAATAACCACCGATCTATCTACATGTACTTGTGTGTAAATATGACGAGATCGAAAGTACAACTTGGTGTTTGTAAGATCTGGTTTCATATCAACAGGCAGAGCCATGAGTGAAATTATATCTCAAATGTGAAGTCATTCATTTTTGAAAATGGGGACTGAACTCTTACCCCAAAAGCTTTCTTGACGATTTCGCCATTTTCTTCAACAACCTGTCTTACTTTTTTGAGTTCATCAGGATCAAAGAAGTTTCTGCAATATAACAAAATGTATCAAATTTTATTAAAATGTGTGTATCAATAACTGATTAAGCAAATTCCCGTTATTTGAATTTCGTTTTTGATTCATAGCGTAAAAATACCATATTGTTTACGTTAAATCTTGGATAGGTGTAAGGTCATGTGTGCTATTTGCACTACTAATATATATTTGACTGCATTCTAAATCAGCTAAGTAGAGATTAAAAAAAGACATTTTATCTCAAACAGGGAAAAGACGGCAAGGCGCTAATGAAAAATGGTCGAAATTACTCGCCTTTTATTTGTCGAATTTCTTCTGAATAACAACAACACTGTTTGTCTGAATAAATTCATGTTATGCTGATTTAAAAATCACATTTGTGTGTCAAAAAGCATTCATCTAGAATCATAAGTTAAAAATATCCCGTGTTTTCAAAGTTCAGGCCCAGGTTAGAAGTGGTGGTATTTTGGTTTCCTAAATACGGAATGTTACTAGTGGAAGGAAGCAAAGGCGAATTTGTCATTCTCAGTCTCGGGGCTTACCAAGGGTTATGTACATGTAGTCACGGACAGTATCTTACGAGTAAATATTGTTCACTAGAACAGATGTGGAAGCTCTTGTCTCTAACAAACGATTTGATTCTTAGCTAGAATTTATGTGGAATCCAAGAGTGTCTGCATGCTATTAATTATTTACATTTGTACGTAAACATTTCAATCAACGTCAGTATGATGTACATAGTTCATCGTTTGTACATGAATACAATGATGATGATGATGAAGATTATGATGATGATAATGATGATGATTGACCACGAAGATCGAAGACTGATGATGATGATGATGATGATGATGATGATGATGATGATGATGATGGCGAAGGAGATGGATATTTTTTGTCTCGTGTTTCAAAGTGATATGATTTCATCTTAGTCAATATTCAAGATAGAGGAAAGCGTTAAAAAAACCCAGGATATCTCTATATTCCTGGGGTAAGGTAGCCTGCACGCAAAATCATAAACACGTGCTGAACCAGAAGTCCTTAATTTGAGAGGTGATTCATTTTTGTTTTGTCAAGATAAATCTTATACAATGTAAAACAGTACAAGATCAATTTTCTTGATACAAATGAATCTTAAATGCATTATGGCAATTATTCATCATTACGACTGTCTTTGTACAATGTATAATGTAGATTGTAATTCGATCAAAGCGAAAATAGAAGTTGTGTTTTTTATTTTGTTTCCATATTTGTCATTGCTTATTTGTCTCGTAATTTTATTTCTAGTATGTTGGAGAAAGTGGGTAGAAAAAAATCATTTCCTAATTTCAATGTAGAAAAGAGAAATCTTTATCCTCGGAGATTCCACCAAGCTTTCAATTTTTGTCATTTACTGTTGATACCGCTCAAAACCACGTGACAGCGTTGATTTGACAAATATGTCTTTAGTATTCAAGCTTTCTCCTGTGTTATTAGAAACAGCAATTAACATATTATGTTTAAAATAATAGTTTTATGATAAACAGAGGTTTTTTTTTTACTACAGGTCGATGTAAAGACAGAATTTTTAGACGATGACACATTCTCAAATTCGGCAGCTTGATGCAGTCTCCATCTAAAGCATGGCTTCGAAGTAGTCCGTCTATTTGACTTATTGTCGGAGTAACATGGATTATAAAGTACCACATGTAGAGATGTTTATCTGTGGTACGTTCACGACCATGCAATAATGTCTGGCATGTTTAATGCTTCATTTCTCAAGAAATATGCTTAAGTGAGAATTTGTTGTTTTTGATTAAAACTTTTCATATCAAACTTTCATTTTAACACTACTAAATTGTAATACAATATTCTAAAAATGTATCATACGCCAAATTAAAATTGAAATTAAAATATTGCATTATCTAGTGTTTAGAAATAGTGTTATATCTTAATAATTATTCAATGGTGTGAAGCAAGTCGTTAAAATTAAGAAACGTGAAAGATGAAAATGATGGTTATAAAAAAGTAATAAAATATCATTAAGATATATACTGAACAAAAAAAGAAAGGTTAGCATGTTTCCCTGGAGAATACCTGTAAATGAGTGAAAACAAAATGACGTTTGTGCAATATTAGAAAATGGTAATGCTTTACATGACAAAATCCAAGGGGGTTACCAAAACCATTCAAGCGTGAAAGTCTTTATTAGCGAAAGAGCTGCACGAGGTTTTCTGCGACTAACTTGTATCTTCGCTTGAATTTCATAAACATTCAAACTGACAACTGTTCCTTAGATCCTTAGGACTTAGAAATCACCGAATCTTGATATGTATCAACTTTATCATTATGCCCCGGCTGTCACAAGTACAGAGAGAAAGGGCTGTAGGCATGATCCAGGCTGGGGAGGCTCGCCGTCGAGTTGCACGGCATTTTGGTTGCAGTGTTAAGACAATTTGCCAGTTGGTTAGTCGTTTAAACCAAAGTGGGTCAACATCCGATCGTCCCCGAAGATGCCGACCCAGTAAAACGACCGCCAGGGATGACCGTCGTATACGATTGATACACTTGCGCAATCGATTCGTAACCGCAGAAGAGACTACAAGGACATTGTTTGGGCGTCGTGTGTCTCCCCAAACAGTCCGCAACAGGTTGAGGGCCTACCAATTGAAAGCGTGGCGTCCCTACACTGGACCCAATTTGTCGCGACGTCACCGTAATAATCGGCGTAACTGGACCCGTGTTCACCGTCGTTGGGCCTTACGACAATGGAACAATGCTCTGTTTTCAGATAAGTCCAGGTTTTGTCTGCAACACGGTGACGGAAGGCGCAGAGTGTGGAGGCGACAAGGAGAGCGGTTTGCGAACTGATGCGTCGCAGAACGGGACCGCTTTGGCGGCGGAAGTGTAATGGTTTGGGGTGGAATTTGTGGGGGGACTCGTACCAGGCTTGTTGTGTTAAATGGCAATTTAACGGCATTCGATATCGGGACGAAATTTTAAGACCAGTGGTTCTACCATTCTTAAGACGCCATGGCGTTGGCGCCATTTTTCAACAGGATAACGCACCAGCGCACACCAGTCGCGTCAGCAGAACTTTCTTGCAGCAGAATAACGTACAGGTGTTAGATTGACCATCTAAATCACCTGATTTGTCACCGATTGAGCATGTCTGGGACGTTCTTGGGCGACGCATGAGAGAACATCAAAATCAGCCGTCAAACTTGCAGGAGCTGGCCCAAGCCTTGATCGCTGAATGGAACAACATCTCTCCTCGAATTATCCGCCGGTTTACGAGTTCCATGCGACGACGCTACAATGCTGTTTACCTCGCAAACGGTGGCCATACCCGTTACTAATGGTGTTACCTTTGAAATTGACCCCAACGTCCTTTACAGTCGAATAAAATCAACTGAACGCAAAGTTTTATAATGAACCATGACTGCAGTTTTATCAGAATTGATCAATTACTTTATTCGTACATGATTGGTAAGGATTTATGAATGGGTTAATTAATTAATCACAGAATAAAGTAGTGTTACCTTTCTTGTTTTGTTTAGTATAGTTGGTTGATATCTTAAACGTAGTATAATAATGTTTGTACATATTCATATACCAATCTTTGTACTGAAACACAAATCCTAACATAACCACCACATTATATGAGATGGTGTTTTACTATCATATATTAGCATACAAATGTTTTGAGAAGGTGTAAAATGCTTACATTGACCATATACTTTTAAATGCTTATATTTGAGGAATGGAGACGTGTAAATAAAACAACGCTGTTGCTGGATAATTTCATTGATATATTCCAGAAAGTGAGTTGAAATTTCAATGTGATTTTGCCAGTCTCTTTCTCTGTGTATATTGAGATAAGTCAAAGTTGTGTTATCAAAATGAAAGTAAATTGTTCTTGGAGATTGCTGTAACATATTTGCCTTAATTTAATCAATTCGCCTAGTTGCATTGTTTAAAATATATATTCGTAACTTTCTTTTGAGATTATCAGAGATATGAAACACACTCCCTTGCCAAGGTGAACCCATACGGCAAGTATGAAGTACTAGTGACTAATAGTGTAGGAGATGGAACACATACAAACGTTTTTGATGTTGATCATACAGCCTTACCGAATTAGTATTAGGTAGGGCCCGGACAATCTTTTTTGATGTAGATCAAAGGTCAGAATGTAGGTTACAATGACTTTCTTTTGATGCGTAACGCACCGTTTCACTTAGGTGAACCCATAGCCTAGGCATTCAGTTCTCGCAATTAGTTGTGTAGAAGATAGGGCCCGAACAATTGTTTTCTTATATGTAGGCCAAAAGCAACAATGTACGTCAGAGTGACCTCGTTTTCATACACGACAAATCTTCTCACCAAGCTGAACCCATATCCTAAACATTGAGTTCTCTTGATTAGCACTGTAAGAAACAAATGTTTTTTGTGGTGGTTAAAGTTCAAAATATAGTTCAAAGTGACTTCCTTTTGATGTACGACCGTGTCTCATCAATGTGAACAAATATCCCATAACATGTTGAAGATAGGGCCCGGAAAAAGATTTCTTCGATGAAGGCGCTATGTCAAAATGTAAGTCAGAATGACCTACTTTGACTCGCGACACACTTTTTTTTTACATAGATGAACAATATTTTAAATTTTAAGTGTTCATGATAAGTTTTGTAGAAGGTATGGAACAGACAATATAGCGGAAGGACGGAAAGACGGAAGGGAAATGTAAATAAACATTCCAGATTACATCGGGTTATCAATCACTGCCACTGAACTATACATTAGTATCATTTATAAATATTTGGATGGCATGATTTCATTAAGAAAGTAATTGAATTCTTTAACCGAACTAATGTACACCACTATATACATTTTATGAGTAGAAAATTATTGAAATATATTGCATGTCTATCACATTAGACAAACCCAAACAAAGTCCACAGAACCGATTTTTTTCAACTACAAACAAACGTTGCATGAAGGGTCCAAAACATCGTAAAAGCCCGTTTGTTAAT